TATGTATGTATTCCATATCTCTAACATAAATATTGTCCAACTCTAAATCAATTCAATTTAAGTCTATTATCAGGTGATAAGTTCATACCTGGCTGTGTGTACTCACTGACTTGTTCACACACTCCCTGACTCACTCACTTCCACACCAGTTGAGAAAGTTGCTTCCATGATCGCAAGAAACGGAAACTGTTGCAAAATTAAACCAGTTCAATTTATCGTTTGTTTGCCTGTTTAAGACTGACCATTTAAGATTACGACCACTGCCAGATTGGACGACATTCATTCTCATTTCGAAGTCGAAATCTAAAAGCTATCAAGTGGTGGAACAATTGTAGGTAGCAGTCGCCTTGGCCCAGGCAACGGCAAATAAATTATAACGATTTAAATATTTAATTACTAACTGTCTAGAACAGAAGTACTTTTAATAATACAACATTAAATGAACATTGCCTCTGAGATGATGTGGATGAAGATGGTGACGAGGACTAGTGATCGATGCAATTAATTGTATGGAACCATTTCTACTACTACTACAACAGTAGTGTCAAATTAAAATGAGCAAGCTAGACAAAGAGCATTTTCAATGAATTGCATTGATTGAGTTCAATTATTTGAGAGACAGAAAACATTAATCAAGGATTGAATTTAGGGCCAAAACATTGCCAAAAATAGATTTGAATAAAATATAATAAGTTTTCTTCAAAATATTAAGTCTATAAATTGATTATGATCTAAGTTTGATTAAAATTTGAAAATGTTTCTGCCATAAATGTTCCATCTTTGCTTGGGTTTGGGTAAGAATTTGAGAAGAAAAAAAAATTAAAAGTTTTTTTAAACCTAAATTAATATTTTTTATGTTGCATATTAAGTATTCAAACTTCTTTTCTTCATGATTAAATTTGACTTAGAATACTTCATTTTTTCACACTTGTCACAAAACATGAAGTGTAAATTAAGATATTGACTTAGAATGGAAACTTCTCAAATAACCAGTAAAGAATGTAAACTCATAATTATACCCTCATCGATGTGCATCATCGATTTGAGACTCTAGATCTCTTTGGACCAAACCAATTTCAGGACATTTGGATCGGTCTATAGATGTCCGTCCGTCTGGCTGGTGTGTACGATAACTCTAGAAGTGAGTATCCGATTTGTTCCAAACTTGGTACATCGTATTATTATTATTAAACTTAGATCGAGTTCGGAGATGGACAATATCGAAATTAAAAAAAGAGAAAGAATAATCCTATTTTGCCCAAACTTTGCAAATCCTAATATTTTCATCAGTGCTAGGTCAGGTGAGAAAATTGACAATAAGAGTCCGATTGTCTTCAAATTTCACACATCATTACATAACCCAAAGTCTTGTGTGAAGATGGAACCTCCTCCACAAAAGGTCTAAGTTTGAAGAACAATAAGTAAAAAAGCAGCTAAGTACGGCCGGACTAAACTTTTAATACCCTCCACCATTTGGAAGGAACTTGAAAATTTTCAAAAAACTTCCGGAAACGACCACTTAAATGAAAACTGTTAAATGGAGATTATACGAAGACGTGGACCATTATGAACTTCAAATAACAAATTCCGTTTAATAATGTAGCTAAAATCATCAAAATACCTAATATCGGGAGGTACCGTTATATGGGGGCTATACGAAAACGTGAACAGAAATGGCCCATTTTCGAACCTATCCTGCCCACTACTAAACTATGAATGTATGCAAAATGTTAGCCTTCAGACAAATGTTACAACAGACAGGGAGACAGACGGACGTCGCTAGATTCAATTTTATGCTGATCCAGAATATATATATATATTCTTTGTAGGGTCTATTATGAATATTTCGAGGAGTTACAAACGGAATGACAAAGTTGATATAGCCTCCATAGAATGGTGAAGGGTATACAAATATTGCGTTTGACTTTGTTGCAGTTTTTCATCTCACACTGTATGTGAAGGTTTTACTATAGCCCCCCATTGGAAGGTACATCCCGATATTTGGTATTTTGACGATTAAAGCCACATTTTCTAACGGAATTACTTAATATTCAGTATTTGGATTCTTTAATGGGTTCTTCTGCTCCTATTGAACGATTTTCAAATAAGTCAACGTTTTTCTATAGTCCCTTTCCTTTCGATATTCGATATTTTGATCATTGTAGCTAAATTTTTTACAGAACTTTTTGAAATTTGGATTGGATGTTTCTAATAACAGAAATGACGCTTACCCCTCTAATACTGGAATTTCAGAATTTACAGACATATTTTTACATGAATTACCTTACCTGGAGGTCATTGAAAGTTCGATCTGGCCAAACTTAACTTCCCCTGACTTTTTTTTATGACCTCATTAAACCTCAGAAATCATTTCAATGATTTTATCGACACGGAAGACGAAAACGATGGTAAAGCTAATGCTGCGAAATAACTCTGAACCCTTGCTATTCCAAAACGTCATCTGTAAATGAAGACACAAAACTGAACTGTCTAAGTTCTTTGTTAATTGTCTAATGAGCTATATAATTTAATATCATTGAAGCCGGTTGAAAGCAGCTATTAATGTATGACATAATATAAGAAAAATAATATACATAACTATACAAAAAATCCAAAATATTTTTTCTATTACTGATACAAATTTATATAAAAATCAAATTTCAATCTTAAATAAATTTAAAATTTTTTTGCTGTATGTTCAAAGACAGTCTATCATATATCTTCATATAAAGATGTCAACATAATTCATTTGTCTTTCTAAAGATACAGTGATAAATGTTTCATTTAACAAAGAATCTAAGTTGCCTCGGGTTCACAGCAGATATAATTTATTATGAAATACAATAAAATACCTTTCCCATTGCATAGTTACTTGATTTCGAAATATTAGTTTAAAACTATTTCCCACATATATTTGAATTTAAATTTATCATAATGTGTATGCAAATGGAAGTATATTTTTAAAGCAACTATATGGGAAATCGTCATTATTCATGTTTCATTTGAAAGCAAAGACTGTTTATTCCAAATACTAATTTGTTATTTTTTTCTTTTGAATAAATGATAGCCCCCTAGAAACAGTTAGCAAATTTAATTTTTACGAAAACAAAAATCTTCTGCACATTCAGTAACTCCTTTCGATTTCCATCTTCATCAATGACATTTTATTATTACTGATATCCATTGTGCCCTTCTTCAAATAACCAGGCAATGAGCATGATTTGCATTTCTGGGCATTCATCAAATTCTATGGCCAAGTGAATGCCGCTTTGAAGACCCTCAAAAATCACTTTTATTTTCAATACCTCATTTTTTAATTAAAGTTGATCATTTCATGATTCACTAAAAGTCACAAAAAGTTTATTTTTCTTTACAATTTAAATACCTCAACCAATCAAATTTCGTACGCCTTTAAAATCATTTCATTTCAATTGAAATCGATAGCGTGGTCTACTAGACAAACGTACCTGGGTATGTATGTGTGTACATTCACGCTGCCGCTTCTTCTGATTAAAAGTAAATCTTAGGTTTTGTACTAGAAATGACTTGGCGAGATGTTAAGCGGCATTAATGCCGGCCGCTCTGAAATGGCAACATCTTTGGGAATGCTGATGCAGCCATTGAATGAATGTGGGGATGATGCGTGCAGAGGTGGTAATATATATGTTTAAATGTATGTAGTTTTAATCGCAGGCAATAAGAGTTGTTGTATATTTTGGTTGTATATATAGATGGCTGTGTGCGATTGGAGTTGGCTTAGATTAAATTGGGGATCTAAAATTTATTTCTGAGTAGTGTAGTAAAATGCATTTAATAAATAGCCCATTCAAAAATTCGAGCTAAATATAGAAAACCCAATATAGAAGCTATACTTTTTGTCATATGCCATAATCCATAAGTTTTGTTGAATGAAAGCAAAAAATGTCGGAAATAGCATCAAATTTTACAATAAGTTTAAATTTGTTCGAATTGGTATGACCGATATAGCTCATCTTCGAACTTGACGGGCTATTTTAATACAATTTCGCACCAAATTTGATGTCTTGGACATTAAACCAACCCCACGCTCACGTAGAAAATATGTATCGTCCAGCGTTAATGATGGCCATCAATAATCGATTCGTCGCCGTTCACAGCAATTGGGTCCCTGCAACTCAATAACAATATAATACAATACAATAAAATACAGCTGGTGACGAACGACCTACTGAAGCCGAACGATCTTACGCAAAGTAATATTTTTGGTTGATGGACTCGTGGAAAGTGGGCCGAAGATCCACTTTTTCGGTCGAAAAATTGTGTTCAGCGACAAAGCTCACTTTTGGCTCAGTGGGTGAAGCATCCAGAAAAAGTCTCAGCTTGGTGCGGTTTATGGGCCGGTGAAATTATTGTACCGTATTTTTTCAAAGAGGCAGCGAATCTGATCATCCCTCTCAAAAAATTAGCAGTATGGATACAGGTTTCAATATGGCGTCTTTAGAACTGATTCCTCAATTTGTGGTCCTTGTCAAATGTTTAACCGAATGGGCTGCAATTTAGTATTCTGGGGCTTGTGGAAAACTGTTTATCAAAAATATTCATTATTTAAAGATATTGGCACATCGTTTTTCTTCAATTCCTGACTATTTATATTTTAAAGTACTTGAGCAATTAAGAATCATATTCCGAAAAGTTGTGTCCATTGATAATATCGTTATTAGGTTCACCTTGGACAACAAAAGATCCTTCTCGAAATATTGGAAATTGAATTAGGAAGGCTGTGAATTTCCCAGGCAATTTTTGATATGATTTTAACAACTTACAAATCAACCTACTAACCCATTAGTTCCACATCTAAGGTTCTTACTAAGGAAGGGGTCACCAGATGTAGCAAACAATTAGATTTTATTTACAAACTCATACAGTCCACGGTAAAATACTCGTTAGAACTTCTACAATAGCTTGTGATTGGGCGCCATATCCCTTAAAATAATTTTAAGATTTTAGATTTTAATTTTTTTTTTTAATTTTTTTATTTTCCCAATTTTTATAAGAATAACATTTCATTTTGTCGCAATTGTTGTTAAAAATACAGATTATTAATAATAAATTAAGTCTTAAGTCTTGCCTTGCGTAGCAAAGCAATAATCACATAACTATTCGCTGATGGATTGTCTTAGCCTAAACGACGGGGAAATGGTGTAATTGTGGGCAAACCATATTTCGGTGGACGGGGAGTTGTGGAGCCCAAATAAATATCGAAACCATTCAAACTGTAATTTATGGTTGAGCTGGAGGCAGCCGAGGAGATGGTGTTCTTGGCCTTTTTCTGGGCAACCTTTGCAACAACTTGATTTGTGATTCTGCTTTCAATGTTGCTGATGACATGTTGCATGGTTATTGGCTTCGATTTGGCAACATCGGCAACATGTTTGTGGGCCAACGATTGTTTGGTGTATTGTTTAACTTCCTTTGAAGGTTTTTTCGTTGGTTTCGATAATTCGATGGGTTTTTGTGTGTAGGACGAGGTGGCGGTGGTAAAGGTGGTGCTGGTGGTGGTTGTAGCTGCCTCTCCAGATTGTTTATGTTTATCCTCCGCCTTTTCAATTTTAGGTTCAAATAGAGGTGGCAATAAAGCTTCAATCGATAGTTCAGGTACGACAGGCTTTGCCGTTGTCGTTGGTTTCCTTGTTGTAGTCGTTGTTGCTATTGTTGTCCTCTTCGTCGTTGGTTTTTTGGTGGTAGTAGTAGTGGTGCTCGTGGTGGATGTGACAGGAGTCTTAGTCGTTTTAACAGCATCTTGTGGCTTATCTTCGAGTGGCGGCAACAACATATTGGATGGTTCTATAACCGTTTTGGTGGCAGTTTTGCCATTTATTGCCGTCACGAGACAATTTACAGTCACAGCTGCGATTAATACCTGAAAAGAAGTAGGGGAAAAGGAAGAACGTAAGAAACCAATGAAAAAAGAAGACAATTTTTTTAAATAGCATATCACTTGTAAACTGTGGTAAATTGTATACAACAAAATTGTAGTTTTCAAAATCACATAAATATTTTGGAGCGTTACAGTGACTCAAGGACTGGTTTAGGGTATTGGAATATAAACATTAAAGAAGACATGTAACAAGAATAAGGCTAATTGATAACCAACATTTTCGTATATAAAATATATAAAAGTGGGGAAACGTTTTTGGTGAAACTTTATATGAATTGCGTACATTTAAAAAAAAAACTAGCCCCATTGTTACCACGAAGAAATTTAGGTCTCGACCTCAGATTCTTTGCTTTGTTAAAAGTTAGGGCAAAACCAACTTCATTTAAGATTAAAATTTTCAAATAAAAACTCAGGGGAAACATCATAATTAATGTCTTGACATAACTTTAGATGTAGAACTATTGAGCAGATGTGGAATTTCCAAATTTTTATGTTTTCATTTTAATTCTATTGTCATTGATCTAGATACGGGAATTTTAATTATTATATAATTAGTAAAATAACTTAATTAAAAATTCATTATACATATTCATTGTCCCTAAACAAAAAGTCGTAAAATTCTTTTCATCATCATAACATCTCTTTCACCAATAACTGAAAAAAAGTGGGACAACTATGACAGGCAAATTCAGATTTCAGGTTTGAAATTATGCAAATTTTTTTATGGAAAGATATTTTTCTTTTTTTGCAGAAACTGGATCCATTATCCATAGAATGTTGTATTCTTTACTACATTGTCTTGGAATTTTAAGCATAGAGCTTATCTACATATTCCTTTTTCAAAAACCCATTCAATATGAAAAGAATCGACTATTATACTTGATAACCTAGTTTCACATTTTTGCAGACAATCTTTGCTACTGAAGAACACATTTAAAATTCTGTTCGCTGGATTTGTTGATTCGATCTCCCTATAGAACTCACATGTGGTGGTGGTGGAAAATTAAATTGATATACCACTTCGTTGATCGAAAGCCAGACTTTTCCAGATATATATTTCACCATTTAGTAGATCATCGTTGTTTTGTAGAAGATTATATTTGGGCTAAAATTAGAATAGATCGTCTATCTGAAAAGTATGACTTTTGACAAAGTATGTTAATAAATCGTAAGGAATCCACACTAGCATTTTAGCAGAAAAATCGTCAGTTTTTCATATATAGTATTTTTTCCTTTGAACTCCAGTTCTAAAGGGTGAGATAAAAAAAAACTGCAACCAACTTCAGACAGATGTCATTTCTAAGCCACTCGTCCGATAGCTACTTAAATTATTCCAGTGACAGCTCATTATATTGTTTAACAGCGTACAACAGCATTTTGGTGAGAATTTTCCAGTAAACAAGTTATTCGTGATTCAAGCGTGATAAAGTGATTTCTTTATATTTGGCTGGAAAACCACAAGTGGCTATCGTTACATTACTCCAGAATTTAAATGTGAATAAATCTTTTGTGTCTCGTACCATCGCTCGTTACCGTGATACTGGTAGCATTGCCCGACATATGTCAAGGAAGTGGACGGAAGAAAACAGCATCATCAGCAGAAATGGTTCGAAAAGTAAAGAAGCGACTTGATCGAAACCTGCGTCGCAGTGGCCATTCGGCAAATATTGAAAAATGAGCTCGAGGTAAAGTCATTGAAATTCCAAAAAGTGCAAGAACTTTTCAGAAGGAAAATAGACTCAAAAGAGATAAAGAGTTGCTTCGCTTGGCCGAAAGTAGTGAATAACCTAATTTGATTTTCTCCGATAAGAAAACGTTCTTTGACCAGCAGTTTGTAAACAAACAAAATGATCGTGATTACTTGCCAAAGAGGTCAGATGAAAATGTGTACCTTCGGTTGGTCACCAGAACTCGAGTGCCGGCCATGGTGGTAATGTGGGCCGCCATAACCGCCGATGGTCGCTCTCTGCTCGTATGAATTGACCGTGGCATCAGAATAAATGCCGAATATTATCGCGAAAATATTCTGAACATTCGGGCAGCGTGTGACGGTTTCATTGGCCGATCATAATTCGTTCCAAAGGAGACAAATTTGAACAAATCTAATCTTATTCTAAAATTTGATGCTATTTCCGACGTTTTTTGCTTTCATTTAATAAAATTTAAAACAAATTTAAAAATTATGGCGTTTGTCTTTGTTGTATTTTTATACCCTCCACCTTTGAAAGGAGGGTATATTAACTTTGTCACTCCGTTTGTAACATCCTTAAATATTCGTCGTAGACCTCATAAAGTATATATATATATTCATAATTAGCATAAAAATCTAAGTCGATTTAACGAGGTCCGTCTGTCTGTCTGTACGTCTGTCTGTCTGTCCGTCTGTAGGTCTGTCTGTCTGTCCGTCTGTCTGTTGAAATCACGAAAAAGCCCCCATTATTTGACGTAGAGCGTCAAAATTTAGCAGAGCAATTTGTATTGTGTTTAGAATAGTTCGTATTGAAAATGAGATATATCGGTCCACGTTCTGGTATAGTCTCTATTAACAAAAACTAAATAACAACTTCCTCAATAAAATTTAGCAGAGCAATTTGTATTGTGTTTAGAATAGTTCGTATTGAAAATGAGATATATCGGTCTACGTTCTGGTATAGTCTCCATATAAAGGTACCTCCCGATATTCGGTATTTTGATGATTTATGCCACATTTTTTCACGGATTTGTCTGAAAATTGGAATTTGTAGGTCATGTCGAGTCCCTGTTCGTGTGGCAAAACATTGCATGTATAGGTCCACGTTTTGCTATAGCCCCCATATAAAGGTACCTCCCGATATTCGATATTTTGATGATTTATGCCATATTTTTCACTGATTTGTATAAATATTGGTGTTTGTGGGTCCTAACGAGTACCTGTGCGTGTAGCAAAACATTGCATGTATATGTCAACGTTTTGCTATGGCCCCAATATAAAGGTACCTCCCTATATTCGGTATTTTGATTGTTTTTGCCACATTTTTTACGGATTTGTCTAAAAAATGGTATTTGTTGGTCATAAGGGGTTCCAGCTCCGGTGGCAAAACATTGTATGTATAGTTCCACGTTTTGGTATAGCCCCCCATATAACGGTACCTCCCTATATTCGGTAATTTGATGATTTTTGCCACATTTTTTCAAGGATTTGTCTGAAACATTGTATGTATAGGTCCTCGTTTTTGTATAGCCCTATATAGCGGTTCCTCCCGATATTCGGTATTTTGATGATTTTTGGCACATTTTCCCACGAATATGTCTAAAACTTGGTATTAGTGGGTCATAATTGGTTATAATGTTTGCATTACCCTAAGGTGGAGGGTATTTAAAAGTTCGGCCCGACCGAACTTAATGTTTTTACTTATTTTTTATCTCACTCTGTGTAGTAGAATCTTATGATAAATAACATTCATCAAATATTTTAATAGACTCTGACCATCTTTAAAGTGGGGTTTTAACTATATTTTGAAAAACTGGCCAAAAAAAAAACATTGTTGACCCGCTTGGGAGTTGAAATTTCTGATCAAAATAATCCTTGTATTTTTAACTGCAATATTGGGAAAGACAATATATAACTAAAATGAACGAATTGCAAGGAATCTTTATCCGAAAAATTCCAAAAGTGAGAAAGCTGAGGAACATGCTCTCCATTTTGGTTACCTGTCTTCTATTTTTAGCTATACGAAAAATATTAATTTTGTCGCATAGTGTAATCTACTGAGTTTTTTTACAAATATAATTTGTGTTTCCCAGTGTAATTGAAAAGATACAATAATTAATTTGTGCTATGATCTTGAGTTTAAAAATTTGTTTAATGCTCTGGGGTTTTTTCTTTCAATAATTTTATTTCAAATCTTTTTCAATATCATACAAAGCTTACATTAATAATTTTTATTTTTTTTTATTGAATAACGCTTATCATTGTTCCTAATGATGATGCATCCATGCCATTGTTGCTTTGGTCTACTGTAATTGCTGATGGAGGTCATGGTCCAAAGTGACACCAGCACGTGTCTAAACAATTAAATAGAATTTTCAATTTTATGTCTTCGCAAACGACTAATGGTTTTGGAAACGAGAAAATAAATGTAATTTATTTTTTTTTTCATTTTAGATAAACAAATCGATATTGTGAAGAGTACATCTGTGTGTATTGACGAGCAATGTTATTGTATAAATATGTATACTAGGCATATGACTAACATTCATTGGGAACGATATGTCTCTATGTTTTTCTTTAGTAGTTTATTGAACCTATTGTCGCTCACTGACTTAACTAACACCAGACATTATCTCGCTGGCCATCTTTGTTCTTGCCTCTTGTTATGATCTGCTTTATTAATTGATTTTTTTTAATTTGTTAGTCAATTGTTTCTCTGTTCATTGTTTTTGCTGTCTCTCTCCTCACTTTTTGACAAGTTTCCATCTGACTGCTGTCTACGTCTCGAATGCATTAATTCGCCCCGTTAATTTATGCTAAATACGAAATGATAAGTTTTATTTGTTTTCTGTTTCGCATTTCCATTTGAATTGATGATGCTATCGATTCGATCGCAGAGGGAAAAAAGAAGTAACACCAGTGAGAAAGAAAAAACAACAACAGCACTTCACATATCCATATCTTGGCAGTAATCTTTCGTCTCCATATATATATGATTCGTACATTAACCTCTGACGCATTAAAGGTCGCCCGGCAGATGACAGCAAAATTTAGTGGATTTCGGAAAAAATGCACAGAACATCACTGTCATTCTTAGTTAATGCGAATAGTTTTCACCAATCATATTATTGGGTTTTTTTATTGTTATTAAGATAAGTTTTGTTGGAAATTAGTTGGGTGTTTTGTAGTTGTTTCGGCAGATATAGTCTTTATAAACTATTAATACTAATGATGATGATGAGAAATACGGGTGTTTTGATGTGTAGATTTCAAACAAACTTGAACCTGAATCATGTGGGATGATTATGTTAGGATTATTTTTCTACCCTCTCTGAAACTATTTCCAGTATGTATATAAGTTGTCAATAAAGTATAACAAGCTATTAACAAAAAACTAAATAACAACTTCCTCAATAAATAAACGAAGCTATTAAAATCAAATTTCGAACATTTAAATTAGTCTTTTAAATTTTAATAAATATTGACAAATGATGTTCGTGTCTGGCGATTTTGAGATATCCACGGAGTGTGTACGTGATAAACTGAAATAGTTTAAATTTTATTGTAAAAATAAGTAATAAATGACTTTTAGCGGGCTACACAACCCTTGGTATACCCTTTACCACTTTACCAATACATTAAATTGCCAGAGAGCCAACACTCTTGGAAAAAGGCAGTTATTTATAAAGCGATTGTGGGAGTTCTTGTTCACTCCTTAATAAAACTGTGCAACACAAAAAAGTAATTACAGGAAAATCCAACAGATTATTAAAGTAGAGCTAAACAAGAAGACACTTGTATTGGCGTTATGAAAGTTTTTAATTCAAAGTAACCTAAATATAGAAGGAAGTCCCTCCCATTCAACACTTTTGGAAATTAAGATTACTTATTATACCCTCCACCATTCTATGGAAGATATATTAATTTTGCCATTCCATTTGTAACTCCATTTGTAAAAAAGTATATATATTCTGGATCAGCGTAAAATTCTAAGGCTATCTAGCGTTGTCAGTCTGTCTGTTGTAATCACGCTTTCTTTCGAATGAATTAAAGGAAGTTTTCAGAAAATTTTCAAGTTTCATCCAAACGGAGGTGGGTAATAAAATTTCGGCCCGACCGAACTTCGCTACTTTTTACTTGTTTGGATTAAAGCTGCTCGGAATCCGTGTGTTTTAGGTAAAAGTTTCTTTGGAATATTGCAATTAAAAATACAAAAAAAAAACATAGTCAAAATGTTTAACCCTCAAGCGAATCTCTAACTGGATATTTTTGGCCTTTTTTCAAAATATGGAATATTGCAATAAAAATAGAAAAAAAAAATTGGTTGAAATGTTAAACCCAAAATTTATGTATAAAAATTAAGTGTTGGTTCCTTACTGTTAATTTAACAAGAGTCATAAGTGGGCCAAATGTCAAAGTACGAAATATTCTAGATCATTGGGAATCTCTGAACAAAATAAACTTGTATGTTCAAAAATTTTCATAAAAAATATCATCAATTTATTCCGAGGGTCTTGGTCATATTTGTATCAAACTTGGGTTAGGTGCAAAAATTGAAAATATCTTCCCAACAAAGATAGAAAATTTTGATAAGTCATGACAAGCACAAAATTGGAAGTTTCCTCACATTTTATAAATTGAGTACTTTTGGTAGCATCCCCACAACATTTTTGAAAATTATTACAAAAGTTAAAGGAAGTATCCGTGTTGATTTAAACCTCGAACATGTTAAATTGATTTTCGAATTTATGCTAGGTCTTTCAAAAATATTGATAGAAGTCCCTTATTATGCTAATGATTTGATATGATCTAATGATCTTCAAAATCTGTTCCAAAAAAAAAAAAAAACGATTATAGATCTGAGGGACTCTCGAATCAAATTTTAAATAAGACAGTTAAAATGATCAAAATATAGAATATCGGGCTCTACCTCCAAAGGGGTCCATATGGAACGTGGACCTGTATGCCAATTTGTATACCAATCCAATTAGAAAATGTATAAATAAGTAAAACAGCAGCTAAATTCGGCCGAGAGGAACTGTTAGTACCGTTTGGAAGAAACTTGCAAAAGCCAAAAAAAAAATCGATGAAAAATTACGCTATAACTTAAAAAATCCGAATATCAGGTGTTGCAGTTATATGAGATTTTACGAACATTTGGATCTCCACAGCCACATTATCGGTCAGAGAGGGTGGAACACCTAGCTTGAGATAATTCTGTTGACAAATCTAGTTAAATCTTAAAAATACCGTAAAAAATGTATATTTCGAGGTGTTACAAACAGAATGACAAATTGGACATACCCTCAATACTATGATGGAGAATATATAAATTCTACAGACCTTAAATACATGTGAGGACATGTTTGTTAAACTACTTCATTTCATTCTAAAATCACTATACCGATTTCTATAGACAGACAAACTTTGTGGGTTCAAACATTCTTATTCTGAGGAGTTACAAACGGAATGGCAAACTTAATATACCCTTCTCACCATCATATAGTGGAGAATAAATAAATAGCTTTTAAAAGTCGAAAAATTTATTTCTTCGTACACTGTTTCTAAAAAAGATTATCGATTATAGCTCAATACATTTTCTTGAACAATTCGCCACTATGCCATTGAATGCCTTTGAAATTATTGTCTTAACAATCTTAAAATTTCAATATATTTTGCCTTAAATTTTTTTGGAAAATATTAACTATTATGGCTACGAAGGTCCGACAATTGACCAATAATATTTTTAAAAAATCCTCGTTCTACTTGAAAAGTATTCCTAAATATTTTAAATAATATTTTATTTTTATAAAGGGTTTTGTGTGTTTGATGTAAGTGGAAAAAGTTAAAAGTCTTCAACTCCTATTTTTAATGTATATAAAGAAAGACATTGTAAAAATTCTGTCAATGAAGATTTATATTGAAAAAAATAATACGTTTGTTAATATTTTATATTCACTTAAGAATTCCATCAAAATCCGGAATTATAGAAAAAAAGTGTTTTTTATTGAAACATTAAACTGCAATTAATTTTGACAAAAACCTTCAGCATATTGAACACGCAGGGACCATTACTCGCGGGTTATGGGAAAACTAGGACCAAATTTCAGTACCAAAAATTCAATACAAAAATGTCATTCTTCCAAAACTCATTGGGATTTCAATTTAGAATTATACGCTGATCTAGAAAATGACTACTATATAGGGTCTCTCGTCAAAGCGAACGACAAAATCGATAGGTTGCAATTAAATAAAAGAAATAAACTCTTCAGGAAAAAAAGGATTTGGAATTATATTTTCATTCATAAACAATTTCCTCACATACAGAATTTTAGGACATTTAGAATTGCATCTCATTTTTTTGAGATAAAATTTATTTTAAATAAAAGTTTATAAATAATTCAAGTTTTTCAAAAAGAATCTTTATTTTTACACCACCCCCTATAAATTCTTCAACGACATCGAACAGCTATTATTCATTAACACATGTTTTCAACCCCACAAGTCACAATGCTAATTCACCAAGAAATTCAACTTTTATCATGCCAAACGATTTGTTGTTAATTTATGCTAATGAATAACGTTTTTCATCTTTGTTTTATTAACATAATATCTCTATTCGATCTCAGATGGAGTACAAAGCAATAAAACTATTTTCACCACAGTTTAATAGAAATGTATTTCTGGGAGAATTTGCATAGGAATTCTCATCCAGTCACATTGTAAGAAACCTTCACTTTGTTGCATGATATTGTCCTTGAGCAGCTAGCTGTCTGTGTTTTATAACTTTTTTTGCAATTACTGGTTAGCAGCTTGCCAGTTTGGAGGTCAGTTTTTCAACGAATGCATAAATTGTATATGCTGTTGTTTAGTTTTTTACAATAATTCTTAAGCCACCAACACATATTGAAAATTGTTATTTTAGAAATATTTGCCACCAGTTTGATGTTGAAGTCCATTTAACAAAATGTTCTGATTTCTTAATTTCTAATTAACGCTTAAAATTTTATGGCCTAAAACATCACTTCCTGATTTCGTTCACTTTTTTCTAACTTTGGGACAGTTTTTCTTCACAGACTCGTTTTTTGTGTTTGCCTTATTTGTTTTTGTATTATTTGAGTGTTTAGATTTATGACGAATATAAATTAGAAATTAACGCCCATCTCAATCAAGTTTTCATTAATTTTATTAACACATAGCAGTCGGCCGTCTCATCAGAACTTACTGCACAACAAAATCTCATTTTTGTATTGTGGGTTTTTTTCTTTTCCGCTTTTTTAGGGATTTGTTTCACCTTCCGACAACTGTGAACGCCGACGAAGCGAAACGATTTAAAAATTGGACTGAAAAGATTTTCGAATCTACAACATGATTTTATAAGAAAATCTAAAACAAACAGCTCCACATAATGACAGCGGACACAATGTATGAAGTAACAAACGAGTAAGCATGATGTTTTTTCACCGCTTACTCGCTGTGCGACGACTTCGTGATGAGCTATTCAAGCAAAGATAGAGAAGACCGATGAATACAGTATTTTTTGCTTACCTGCACAATCAAAAATTGCACGACATCTTGTGCAGCAATGCCCAAAATGCAGGTAGCTTCATTGCATTTATCTGCACAATGAAGCAGGTATCTTTAACTTTACTTACTTGCACAAAAAGTGCAGTTATCTTTAATTTTCTATTCGTGCACAACAAAGCAGCAGCAGCATAACCATCTTTTAGTGTGGGAGAGGAAGCGATAATATGTTTTTAATGCATGCTCTTTTCTTGTGTTGTTATTGTTTTTGCGAATACAAAAACAAAAACGAAGTGGTAGTTTTTAGTGTCGTTTTTGAGTTTGCAAAAAATTTCTTGTGCAGATAAATACAACTTTTGTAACCAAATTAAAAAAAAATTACCAAATTTTCGAGGCAGGAATGTCCAATGTGCAGCTATCGATTGGGCACTTAAATACAATTCAAATAAAGGGATTCAGAAAAAAATGGCATAAAAAAAGTTTTTTGGTCTGCAAAGGCCAATGCGCAGCTAATGTTGATGCAGGTAAATAGAAACCACTGTATATGAAAATAATACGGATGAGTGTTTAAAATTAGTAATAAATGTTATGTTACTTGTATTTGCGGGATGAGACTCTATTCAGGTCTGTCTTTGTTAATTTTTTTTAGCTATAAAATCAGTAGCAGTGCATATATAACATCGAATATAGTAAATTTTGGTACGCAAAATGTCTTTAAATAAATATTGAAAATATTTAATATTACAGCTATGATGTTCCACCGAAAAATATTCTTAAAATGCAAAATTAAAAGAATATAATAATTCATCAACAAATATTTTTCAAAAATCGATAAATATTTTGGAAATCCCTGATTATAATTCCGATAGTATTTCCAAAACTATTTTTTACATGTCGTCGATGCCTTCCAAATTGTCCTTAAAATTTCGCAGTTCTAGCTATGATGGTCTTATGGTGCAGTCCTTAAAAAAATTCTCAAGAAATCAGTGGTTACAGTTTTTATGATTCTTTCAAAAAAAGTCGATTTAAGCTCAAATGGTTCTTCAAAATATATTTGTTAAAATCCTTAAAAAAATATTATTTTCTAATCTTTTAAAAAGTCGAAAACTGTAGCCATGATGACCTTTAAATAGAGCACCATATAAAATATTATGGTCCTCAGGAAAAAAAGAAAAAGCAGCTAAGTTCGGCCGTGTCAAACTTTTAATGTGGAGTTAGGAACTTGAAAAATTTCAAAAAACTTTAGGAAACTACCACTTAAATGAAAACTGTTATATGGAGATTATACCAAGACGTGGACCTGCTTACGGAATTTTTTGTCATAGGCTGTAGTATCCATTACGAACTTCAAATGCGAAATTTGAAACAATTCCGGTGAATAATGTCGCTAAAATCATCAAAATACGAATATCAGTATGTACCGTAATATGGGAGATATACGAAGACGTAGACCTGCACTGACAATTTTCTTTCTTAGGCTGCAGTACCCATGACGAAATTTAAATAAAAAATTTTGTTACAATTCCTGTGAATATTGTCGCACAAATCATAAAAATTCCGAGTTTTGGGTGGTACCGTCATATGGGGGCTATACCAAAACGTGGACCTGCACTGACAATTATCTGTCATAGGCGATAGCACCCGTTACGAACTTCAAATATGAAATTTGAGATGAGATGATTCCGGTAACTAATGTCACTGAAATTATGAAAATACCGAATATCGGGAGGTACCGTTATATGGGGGCTACACGAAGACGTTTACCTGCATACAAAACTTTTTGCCATAGGCTGTAGTACCCATTACGAACTTTAAATATGAAATTTGAAATATTTCCTGTAAATACTGTTGCTGAAATCATCAAAATACGGAATATCTAAAGCTACCATCATGTGGGGGCTACACGAAGACGTGGACCTGCACTGACAATTTTCTGTCATAGGCGGTAGCATCCATTACGAACTTCAAATACAAAATTTGAAATAAATCCGGTTAATAATTTCACTGAAATCACGAAAATACCGAATATCGGGAGGTACCGTTATATGGGGGCTATACGAAAACGTGGACCGACATGGCCCATTTACGAACCTAAGCTGCCTACTAGTAAACTATGCATGTATGCAAAATTTTAGCCTTCTATCTCAATTCGTTCGAAAGATACCGTGATTAAAACAGACGGACAGAGAGACAGACATAGGGACATCGCTAGATCTTCTTAGAATTTTGCGCTGCTCCAAAATATAAAAACGGAATCCAGAGTTAAAAACGGAATGACAAAGTTAATATACTTTCCATAGAATGGTGGAGGGTATAAAAAAGATAAAAAATATTTATAAATAATAATATTTATAAATATTTTTAATAAATCAGAATGGTTTTTCAGAAAAAATATTTTTTTAATTTAAAGAAATCGATAATTGTGAAAAGATTCTTTTATAAAAATTTTTAAAAAATCCCGGATTGGTTTTCAGAATAATATTTTCAAAAGATATTTGCTGTTTTTTTTTAATATGTGTTTTTTAAATGATCCGCTATAGTTCATAATTTTTTTTTTTTTTTTTTTTTTTTTTGTGCAAAAGAAACGTTTACTGTTGAGAAGTATTTGTCAAAACTATTATTTAAAATTCACGATAGTCTTTAAAATATATTCTTTTATATTTCAATTTAAAATATATCCCTAAATAAAACTCTATTCCACGAAACTCATAAAACGATATTATAAAAACTTTCTTCAAAACTTATCGTCGTCTATTGACCCTTCATAAAGATTTAGATGGGTGTAAACCAATAAGTTGCTAACTAATTCATCGGTTCTTCACACCTAGTACTTTGTAGCCCGCCAAAGAAGACATAAAACCGACTGTCACTTTTATGACTAAATATGTTAATAAATCACTTCTTAATGCATCGCACACACTCGCAACGCCCATCTTCTTCATCTTCTTGAGATAATCTTCGACAACCTGTAAAAGTTGCTGGTATTTAACACCTAAATCAGCAGTGTCACATCAGTTATTTTCGACTGTCTGACAGGCTGACTGATTGGGTGTGTGTGTGTATGATGTGTTCCAGAGATAGTTGTGTTGTCATGCTGAGCGTTACTAACATCAAATCGAACTTAGCATACCAGCTTGACCCACCGATCGATTCTATTCGAAAAGATGTGAAACAACTAAAAATAGTGAAATATAAAAAGCAAAGAAAGAAACACACCATATTTAACACGACAGACTACGGTTTACAGCTTGTTTCAAAAGGGGAGTCTGAAAGAATTTGAGGTGTTGCGCGAACAGTGGTAACGAACGATAAAAAGTATGCCATAAAAGAAAAACATATTATCGTCTCATAAATCAGAATTTTTATGAAAAAATTATGAGTGCGAAATTTGGAAATATCAGTTACAAAACGTGTAACTACGAAAAATTTTCCTTCGTCCAAAAAACTGTTATAGTCACGCTTTTATTTAAGCACTTATAACTCAAAATTGACAAAAGATTACATAGTTCTTTTAGACCTCATACATACAGGGCGAGATAAAAAAGTTGAAATAAAATCAAACGCCATAATCTTTAAAATTTATTGAATGAAAGCAAAATATGTCGGAAATGGCATCAAATTTTTGAATAATTTTAGATTTTTCGAATTGGTCAACTTTGACACGAATTATGGCCTTAAAACGGCCAATGAAACCTCCACACGCTGCCCGAATGTTGCTCTGTGGTATTTGGCCCATTTCCGTCAAAGCGCTTGCAGGAGGTGATCGACACTTTGGTATTTTTTAGTACCAACCTTTCTTTCCGAAATTCTCCAGACACAATAGTCCAACGGATTGGTATACGGAGGAACTTCATTTTGTAACCATTCTTGGGTGGCGCGTGCTTAGTGCTATGGTGCTGAGTCCTGTTGGAATGTCCAAGGTCTGCGACCAAAATGTTTGCGTGCCCAGGGCTTTAACACACCCTCCAGAATGTTCTTCGCGATAATATTCGGCATTTATTATGATGTCTCTGATGTTTAATATGAGCTGCTGACTATCGGCTGTTATAGCGGCCCACACCGTCAGCATGGCCGGCGCTTGAGTTCTGGTGGCCGACCGAAGGTGCAAATTTTCAGCTGACCTCTTTGGCAAGAAACAGGATCATTTTGTTAGTTTACAAACTGTTGTACAACGAATGTTTTCTCATCGGAGAAAACCAAATTCGGCAGTTCGCCACTTTCGGCCAAGCGAAGCAACTCTTTAGCTCTTTTGAGTCTATTTTCTTTCTGGTGCGGTGAAAGTTCTTGCACTTTTTTGGAATTTCAAGGCTTTACTCCGAGCTCATTTTTCAATATTTTCCGAATGGAATATTGAGATATGTTCAGCTTACGAGCCATTTTTCGGCCACTGCGAAGCGGGAAGATTTTATCTCTAGGTCTACGTTTTCCTATAGCGTACACATAATGGTACCCACCTATATTCGGTATTTCGATAATTCTAGTCATATTTACCCACGAAATCGTTTCAACTTTGGCTTTTAAGACTCCCAATAGATAAAAATCCTTGTATTATAATAAGGTCTATAAAGGCTCCCTTGTTGGTATGGCCGCCATTTTTTTGTTTTGAAAGTTCAAATTAATATTTCATACTATTTTTTAGACTTAAGAGATGATGTTTCGAATGACTTCCAAAATAATATGAGACATTGATTTTTTTTTTTCAAATATATTTCTTAACAGGTTTTGTGCTGTATCTTTGTTGGACATATACCAGGGTTTTATTCTCAATCGATTCTTATAACATATATTTATTTATTTTTAATTATTTATTTCTTTTTAAGGAAAAACACCTGTAATTATTTTAAAACACTGT